ATTTATATATATTATATATGAAAAATATATCAAAAATGCAAGTGGGTACTCAAATGAAAGCTCTTGATGAGTGTAATATCGCGATGAGCTTATATATTTAAAAATCTCATTAATTAAGAAATTACCTTGTATCTGGGAAACTATTGACATTTTCAAAGATATAACCTCATCCTAACGTGACACTCATCGAGACCTTTCATTCGAGTACCCACATCAATTTTTCATATATTTTATATATTTATATATATGTATATATGAAAAATATATCAAAAATGCAAGTGGGTACTCAAATGAAAGCTCTTGATGAGTGTAATATCGCGATGAGCTTATATCTTTAAAAATGTCAATAGTTAAGAAAGTACAGTGCAATTTAACATGATTAAGAAACGATATTGTATCATAAGAACTATTGACATTTTCGAAGATATGAGCTCATCCTAACGTTACACTCATCGAGACTTTTCATTTGAATACCCACATCAATTTTTCATATATTTTATGTATTTATATATATTATATATATGTATATATCAAAAATATATAAAAAATGCATGTGGGTACTCAAATGAAAGCTCTTGATGAGTGTAAAATCGGGATGAGCTTATATCTTTAAAAACTTCAATATTTAAGAAATTACAGTGCAATTTAACAAAAGTCATTATTTAATAAAGCAAAATTTTATTTATTATGACTGCAAAATTGCTAGTTGAAATTTCATACAAATTTATCTTTACAAACCCACCGTAAGAAATATCAAACTTCCTAATTCAATGAAGAAGAAAGAAAAAATATTTTAACTTAAAATTAATAATATTTTTTTTTTTATTAAAAAAAGTAAAATTGACATCTTTGATATCTAGAGAGAATTTAGCTGACTAAATATTAAAAATTTAATTAATAAATGTTACTCACATCAATATATTGACATTCAGCGGATGCGTAATGACAGGATATCGCCTTTCGCGTGCGATTTGATTTATTAACCCCTGAGCCGTGAACAAGCAAGGGATGGAAAAATACAGTATCACCAGGTTCCATTTCTAAATCAATCCATACCGTGGATTTCGGTAAGTCCTATCATAAAAATATTAATCTTCTTTAACGTGAATTTTAAAAATCAAACATTAAATATTTTTTCTATCAATTTGAGAAAACTCACGTGAATTCCGTGATAGAATTTATTGGTTGCATTTTTATCCTCCGGGTAACCATGTGGATACAATCGTTGAGGGATATGTGATCCAGGCGATACAAAAAGACAACCATTAGAGGTGTGACAAGGCTCGACAGCTGTCCAAGCAGCGACTATCGAGTTTGCGGGTCGGAAAGGAAAATAATATAAATCTTGATGAGGTGGATGTCTGCAGAAATAAAAAACATTAATAGTATCGCAATGTTTCAAATTTTTATTGAACTCTTCTTAATCTTTATATAATAATTATTATTAATATGTATGAAGAAATAATTTATGTTGTAAATAAAAATTAAATTAGATTATAATTATAGTTTATCAGGGTCATCTTCAATAACCTTGTACTGGTAAAATTAAAAACGCATTAGTTGTAGAATTGCTGGGTATAAATATTATCAATTGGTGTTAGATATTTCAGTTTGCTGTCAATAGCTGTAAGTTTATAATTTAATAATTTAATTAAGATCAATAATAATTTTATTATATAAAAATTAAATTTTACAGTATAAAGAACGAAAATGAAGAACTTATTCGCATTATTCTTTCTTTTCTTCGTTTTTGGAATGAATTTCTAAAATTTTTGCTGGTGGATGTGATGGTATCAAGGTAAGTTGTTGTATATATTTAATTATTGAATTATGATAATTAAGCAGATAATATAATTACAGGAAAAAAAATTTTAAGTGAAAATTATAGAAATTATTTTTATAAAAATTTTATAAGAGTTTTTTTGGTAATTTATAATTATATTCATTTATTTATTTATTTATTCATTTATTCAAACGCTAATCGGCTTGTTACATTTAATTTACATCAAAGAAATTTAGTTTTAGGTGAATAAAGAAAATAAAAATAAAAATAAAAAATAAAAAACAAAAACAAAAATAAAAAATAAAAAATAAAAGTAATAAAGCATTAACACTTCACTATAATTTAATTAGAATTAAATTTAAATTAAATCAATTTCATTTACTTTATAAGTTCAAATTTCTAGCAGTATAGAAAAATATCTCTGAGTAATTATTTTATATAATTTTTCAATGAAAAATAAAAAAATTTTGAAAGCTAAATTTACATTTTTATCCTAGTAAATTAAAAATTTTTTATAATGAAAAAATTGACTTTTTTTTTTAAATAAAAATTACATTTTTAAAAATTTTAATTTGACTGATTTTTTATATAATTTTTACAGAATTTTTTTTCCATGTAGAAGAAAAGTGTTCTAAATTTATTAAACAATAAACTTTTTTTTTATCATTAGTGCATGATATCAAAAGGATATGACTGTTGCGAGGGCTATTGGTGTAATGGCTACTCAGAACAAGGAGACTGTATACGTCTTGCAACCGAAGCGAAGCTATAATTAACTTTCAATCTTAAGCAAAAGATACAAATAAAAAAATCTATGAGAACTTCAAAAAATCTTCAGTGATTTTATCCTGCTAAAATCCAGTTAAAAATTT